GCTGAACCACTGTCATACCTGCAGCCTTACAGAAAAACCAAGCAAGAGTAATTCTCATTCAACTGTGGCTTCCTCTTGAGATTATAGGGAGCATAAAGAAAATCAAATCGATACCCCACTCAATGCCCTTTAAGAAGTGTTGTAGAAACTTGAGAGGTACGTAATGTTTAATACCATGCAGCGGGAAGCACCTCAAAAGTCCCTTTTAAGGATTTGCTTTCCCTCATTGATACCGCATTTATTTGTTGGAAGGTGAGCCCTTGAGTCACTTTGCACTGGTACTTTGTTTTTGCCCTTCCTGTCCTTCAATCTTCCTTTTTGGATGTCTCTTTCTCTGCCTTCCATGTCTGACCTTAGCCATGCTGCACTGTGACTGGCTTTAGGATGCTTCTATGATTCCTTTCCCTCACATGTTATTAGTATAAAGGCAAGTAAGCATTGCTATTTAATTGATATTCCCCACCTTCCCTGCTGGATTCCATGCTTCCCCAGAGCTGAGCTCATCAGAGTAAGGTCCCTCTGGGGTACCTCTAGGAGCCAGTTAGTCAACATCAGTCAAAAGGTGAAATGGCTGATCTCAGCGTGCTCTCACTTAGGAGACCAGCCCCACTGCAACCAGATTTCTAATGAGGTGTGAATAATCAGTGATTTAGTTTAAGAAATAGTATCACTAACTCAAATACAAAGAGACTTAGAGAAGTCTCTGTTAAAAGTCTAAGCATATATGGCCAAACCCATTAGTTGGGAGGATGATGAGCGTGTGTCGCCCAGCACAGCATCACCTCTGAGCTGGGGATAAGAGACTGCTACACATGCAAGGGACAGGTGTTTGGTTTCCTCACAGGAAGGCCCACACACTGGCAGGTGACCTCTTTTGCTTCTTTTGACTCCAATGCCTTTTACATTTTCTGTAGGAAAGCATCTGGCCTGGTGGCACTGTTCTCCTCAGGCCTCCTAGTGACGTTGTCCAGGTCTTCGTTCCACTTTAATTATCCTACACTCTCTGTAGGGGCTGCATCATCCTGCCTTAGAATAACTGGTGCTCTCCTCTTTTGCCTTGGTAGATGTTTGCCTCAGCGCCTTATTAACAGATGTGCTGAAGCCTATGCTCATTATATCTCCCCAGTTTAAAGTGACTAGGAATTTAGTTCAGTAGGATTTCTCTACCACCTAAGAATCTCAGTCTTTATTAGGCAGTCTTTAATGTCTACACTTAATTCAGAATTTAATCTTTGAATCAGTATGAGGCAGTAGGATGGTCTTCAAGGGGTTATAAATATTTCCTTAAATTGAATTATGACTAAGATATATAGTTTTATACCTTCTGTATTATAGCATTATTTTTTAAAGGAGAATTTTATGGGACTCTACAACTGTAGCAGTATCTCCTTCAAGTAGGTCATCTTGGTACATGAAATATTGACTTTTAATTAGAATATTTTCTTTGGCAGAAATTAATATGTAGTTCTGGATCTTCCCAAATAATATATTATTCAGACTTGATATGAAACTAATCAAAACAGAGAAAACTAAATAAAACTAAAATATTTAATAAAAAATTTCTGGTATGTATAAGCAAATCGGAGTTAGTAATAAAAGAGGTAACACTTTATTTTAATGGTAAACTTTCATGCTAACTTAATAGTGTAATGGAACTGTAATATAAACTCATTTTCATATAAAATCTTTGTTTTAATTAACATATTAATATATAAAGAAACCATGTCTTTTTCCATCGTCTGTCCCTTTTTGTTCTTTGTATTTTGCATTATTCTGTTTTGTGTGAGGGCTCTGACCTCCTAAATACAAAAGCCAGTCTACATGACTCAGAATAGTGTTTATGGACAATCAATTCTGTTGATAAGAAACAACTAAAATACCAATGGTGTGATGGGGGGGTACATATATGTAAAAAGAGGGTTGAGGCAAACAAACAAACAAACCCTCTTTTCAGAAAGTAGCAACTGATCTCACATCAAAAGACACACAGCCACAGAACAGTGTCCATAGGGTATACTAAGGAAGGTTTTCAGGTACATTTTTAGAACATCTGATGAGTGAACTGGAAAGTAGTGTGACTGAGGTAACCGAACGACAGTAACATACGACCTAGACAAGTATTTTTGCGTTCTCATTTTTATGTTTATCCCACTACAAGATCCTCAGTGTGTGGCATATATTATAATTAAAACACTTTCTTCTTGACACAAGTCATACCAGTATTGTGAAGCCACGGTTATTTTAGTGGTATTAGCCAAACTTTATATAAAACTATATGGCAAAACTGAAACAATGAGTATAACACAGACAAGAAAACCATACCATGGTTTAAAGGAAATTAGACTATTTCAATGAGTAAACATTTTCTTTTCTTTTAAAACAACCCTCAAATGAAAAACAGTTGTGAAATGTGTGCTGAAAACTGGCTGAAGCAATCAGACTCATGTTCTACACTGGGGTGCTAGTAACAGGTTTCAGTAATATCGTTATTTGTGATAAAATGGTGAATTATGGACGAAGAATTTTATTGACTATATTAAATTTGGGAGATGAGAGAAATGATTACATAAGACCTTTCACTGGGGACCTAGTGGCAGGATGGACTAAAATGAAACCTCTGGTTTTGAAAGTCTAAACAAAACCTATTCATCCTTTATTATTATTTCCTAGAAGAGAAAGAATATGTTGGCTTTGGAAAGTAACCTTAGATGATATGGAGTGCAAAATAATTTTAGGTTTCACATGTCGGTAACAAATGTTAATTTGACAATAAAAGATTTCTTTCCTTGAAAAATGATGAACTACTTAAATATTTCTCATAAAGGCTCCTTGGTGATTCAAGGTAGCAAAATGCAGGTGAGAGTCAGGCTGCCTGGGCTTACCCGCCCCCACCCCCACTCCATATTCATAAATTTAAGGAATTATGACAGAAACTACATAGGAGTAACAGATGCAACACGTGAAAAATCCATTAACAACACAAAAATTTGTGACCTGGCTGAATTACATTCAGACCAGTGGCAATTCTGGTTACTAAAATTTTGGTTACTGTTTTCTTACTAAACAAGTCATAGGTTTTATGTGTTCTTTCCCTATATGAACTTGCAAATTCAGAGGAGAATTTGTGTGTATGCTTTTTGGGTATGGATTAGCCTCCTAAAGTACATAATTCCAATAATTATCAGTGACAGAAGGGATGAATAAATTATGCTTCAAGCACAACAAAGTTAACAGTAAAAAATAGTCTGCATAAGTTTTTCTTAATGCATGTGCCTATATTAAATTTAATATTCTGTATAACTGATATCCTGAAAGACTCCCGATGAGTTATTAATCCTGAACTGTACCACTGCCTGCTTTGGGACAAAGAATAAAATAGAATTTAAATGCTGCAGATGTCACGATGTTTTGAAAAGCTTCTTTAAGCACACAGTTACGATGTGAACTGCAAATTCTAACAGCCTGGATGAGTGAAATATCAATGCCATGTTCGTTCTTTACACCAGAATGCAATGATTAAGCTTCAGGTCTTGTTCACAAAATTAAAGCCCAAACCATCATTCTCTCTCTTTGCTGAGAGCTTAGCAGTGCGGCTGCTAAGTGATGGGAGGCTGTTTTCTTTAAACAAAGAATATTACAGAGAGATGCACTTGGAAATACTGGCAAAGGGTGGAAATGTCCCCATTTTATTCTTGCTTTTGAAGGCTGGCAAGTGCCTGAAGACCAGAGCTCTTAATCTTAATTCATGAGTCTGTGCTTTGATTTACCACAGTATATGCCATCAAAAGAAGGTTTCATTTTACTCATAATATTTGACAGAAGGGAAACAATGCTGATTAAAAAAGAGTTACTTTGTATATTGCAATATTTTTGTGGGCAAGTTTATTCTTTCATTTTCGTCTGGATGTGGTAATCATTAAATGTGTATGAAACTTCAAGGAGATCGAAGTGGTAGACAAAAGCCAGTTTTCTCCTCAGTATTATCCTGTTTACTCTTGAAAGTAGTACTGGGTGTGAGTTGTGTGCAGTGATATTCCTAGGCAGCAAATAGGTGGAGGGGGCAGGAGGAATTTTCTATCCCATAAGCTCTTCCAATGAATGTAGACCAAATAATCACTACTGTGCTATTTGGACACAGGCCTGAGCACTTATTAAAAGCTCCCAGGCCACATTTACCCCTGAGCGTGACCATCTCTTACACACATATTTATCCTGAGAGGCAACTATATACAGACCATGGGGTAAGTTCCCTGGATGAAGCTAAGATTCAGCTAAAGACAATCCTAGTTTAAACTCTGTTACATTTTATTCATATGAAGCATCTCCAAACTGTGCTCATATATGGGTCGGCTAATGATAAGAATTTTCAGGTAGCAGTATAAGAGTAAATGAAGGGGGAAAGTGGACAAAGGAGGGCTATCTCTATAGCTTTTTCCTTAATAATGTTCATTTGACTTCTTAACCAATTTACTCCATTCATACCTGCCAGGTTTCTCAGTATTATGTGCGTGTGTGTGTCTGTGTGTCTGTGTGGGGAGCGCATGCCCATGTGTGTACACACATGAATGTGTTTATGAACTAGAATCATGAAATTCTAACAGCTCTGGAAACTGGCACAAATGAACAGAATTAAATTCTGGGATGTCTCCTCTCAAATGAAGGTACTTAAAATTGTGCTGTTATTTCTGTAGACTCATGCTTTGGAATTTCTCTAAAGAATTTTTTGTTGACAAGAAGTCTCTATCTGTGAACTCCTGAAAACATTTCTTAGAACCTTTTTCATGAATCAGACCATAAAATAAAGCGTGTGTGTGTGTAAAGGCATAACTCTGGTAAGAAGGCAGATTTTCTATTTCCCTTTCCTTCTCTTTGATGATGACTTTAGCTGCCCCTTTCTCCAGACCGTCTTCCTGTTCCAACTTACTTCTTGCCGTCACAGCTGTCTGAAACATTCTTTAAAAGCTGTGGCCTCAATTAAGAGCTCTTTGAGGACATTCCAGGCATCATTTTCTGATGCCTGGACAAAAGGGGAGGGAAACAACAGCTTTACCAGTAAGACAGGAATGTGAGGATTCTTACACTGTGCTTATTTCTGGCGAGAAAGGAAAGAAAACCCCTAGGAGGTCTAAATAACGCTCAGTATAAAATGATGTTTACATATACACTCTTGCCTTGGCAGAGCAGAAAGCCAACTTTGGTTGGAATGTGTCCTGCAGACATGGCATTACCAATGCAGCTGATAGCACCGATCGAGTAGGGTCTGTGGCATGGGACAGCAGCCGTGAACTGGGTCTGAAGTAAAAAATCTCTGCGAAACATTGATGGTCCTGGTGTGAAAAAGATGGATTGGTTCCCCCTCACATTTAGATCCTGTGCTTTTCTATTTACAAAGGGCTGAAATGGCAGGATTGCTGTGGTGAGCTGAGAAAGCCCTTGGTAGGACTGACCTGTTTCTTGAATGCATTTGCCTTTGACTTTTTTTAACGGCACATATTTAAAAAACAGTTAATTAAAAAAAATAAGCTTAGAAGACTGTTGCACATAACGTGGTATAAACTCATTGTTGACGAGAAGAACAATATTACTCTGCTGGAGGACCAAGTCCTGGAGGCTGAGTTTGCACTGTTCTGTCACTATGTGATTTTCTTCTTGATGACAGTGAGCTCTTTCTGAAGTTCAGTGAACTTGGGGCGGTTTTCAGGTTTATAATCCCAACACTTCATCATAATTTTAAAAATGTCCTCTGGACAATGCTGAGGGGCTGACATTCGGTATCCTGAAGACCCAAGAGGAGAAGAACAGAGAATTTAGAATGGGGATAAGATATAAATGTTCACATAGGGCATTATGCAGTTTGTAATTTTTAGTACCTTATGTTGTTGGTTAATAGAAACAAAAAATTCATTTCAGGGAAAACTGACTTTTTCTCTATAATGCAGACTTTAATAGAGCAACATCATTACCTTCTAGTTCAAAGAACCCATTTTCTGTTTGTTCATTCGTCACAAAGTCTGATATAAGATACATCACATACAAATGTATGTTTTAGTTGCTCTAAGTATTTGCTTTCAGAATTTGCTTTGAGATGCTGTAGGCAGAGTTTAAAAAAATCATCTCTACAACTCAGGGTTTTGAAGATGAGGAAAAGGATGAGGATTTATAAACATTAATTTAAAAGTGAAATAAAAATGAATATGAGGCATATTCCTTTACAGTCTGAGAAGAATATTATCTTTAATTCGAAGTCACCTGGCAGTGTCCCGGCAGTGTGCTGGGTGGTGTGTGTGTGCTTGTGTGCATTTGCCTCAGGAGCGGTAGAAAAAGGGAGGAAGGAAGCTGGAAGGTCATCTTCCTACACCCGATTCTACAACCATGCCCCCCTTGAGGGGCCTGACCCTAGGGCGCTGGTGTTTTGTTGAAAGTGTTTTGTTGTTGTTGTTGAAAGCCGGGGACTACACAAGTGCACGTGAGGGTGTCACCGTCACCCGCTTATTCCTGCCCCTGATCTGAGAACACCGTAGGGCTTCTTCAGAACTGTTCCAAAACTCTCAACTTCTTCCTGAAGTCTAACTACATTTCAGTTTGCAGTAATATTAACAGTGTTTATTTGGCATATAGAATAAAAAATAGGTGGTCTTCCTCAATCTCCTATTTCCCTGGAAGAGAGTGAATGGCACAGCCTTGCAGGTGTCATGCCAGGCAGGGGGAGTGGAAGAAAAGCCTAGAGCTTTCTATTTTCAAAGAGCTGGGATCTATCTTTTAAAGTCTTTGTTGCTGTTGTTGGTTTGGTTGTGTAAGAGCCACACCATCCATAAAGTTCAAAAGTAGATTAACCAGCACCTCTTCTATCGTGTGCCCCAGAGCACTCTCTTCCTCCTCCCAGGAAATGCAGACACGGCACCAGCACTGCCCAGGCTGGCTGTGAACACTGCTACCCTGTGTCTTTGGCTCACCTCTTTCCACTTGTTCCCGAGCTTGTTGATTTGTCATTCCAGGGTATGGGCAGACCCCTAAGCTGAAGGTCTCCCAGAGGAGGATGCCAAAGCTCCACACATCACTCTCAGAGCTGTATCTCCCTGAAGGGCGAACAAAACCACATTCAGGTCACTGGAAAAGTGGGTGACCATTTCTGGTTGTGTATGTCTATGTCAGTCACATATTAACATATTTAAGCTTACCGGGAATTCAATAACTAGTGATCTTATTTTCTTGACTAGTTTTTGCTTTCCAGGAGTAGTAATATTACCAATTAAATGAATAGTCTTCAGGCTGCTACTTTAACCAAGCCACCTTCCAAATCACATTTCCCCCACCAAGAACAAATATTCACTCAGTATGCAAGCTTACTTTCTCTGTGGCCTCTAAATGAGATAGATGGTTTATATAAAAAAAGATATAAATTTGTACACATCGATGCCTAGGAGATTAAATAAGTTGGAGTTCTGCAATTTTGTCTTCTGCCTGCATCATTTTCTTTCTACTAAAATTACAAACAAACTTAAAGCAATAAGGAAAGTTTCTTAACTTCAATTTTTTGCTCATCACTGTTTACAGATATTCTTACACGCTTAAAGTTCTCATTTTCTCCACTGATAGTTTCATTTATGGAAAATACATTTTTTTGTGTTTTGAATAGAGTAGAAATTAACATAGCTGGCTGATAAAAACAACTTCTTTAAATTACATGGTGCTGTGTTTTGTCAAAATATCTTGGTGCACCTGCTTTACTGAATTACATAAGCTAACTCTTAGTTTAGTTTTTTTTCCCTTGGTAATCTTCTAGAGAAACACAGAGATAAAAGCCAATACCAGATATCTTCTGGAATGAATGTGAAATCAAGGAGGGGAGGCAGAAAAGGCTATGAATTTTCAAGATTTTGCAACATATTTCTGCCATTCCAGGATGTATAAATGCCCATCCTCCCAAAATGTCTTGTTACTTTGCGTAGGATGGCCTTTTCTCTTTCTTGAAAACAGTACAATGAGAATGAGAGTATGCCTGTGTTATAACTGCTCTGATGTCAGAGTTTGGAGTGTACTTGCTGATCATCATCTCCAGCTGTGTGAATTAGCTTCCTTCTTACTAGACGGTAATTATGGACATTCACTATGCTAGTCGGTAGGAAGATTAGTTTCCCTGTCTGCATATCAACTCTTTTCATGTTTGGCATTCAATAATTTAAAACTTTTTATGAAAATCATTCAATGGTTACAAGTTAAGACTAATTAACTCTTTAAGGAAGTACAAAGCATAGAGAACCAAATACCTTATTTTTGTAAGATAGTATCTAGGAAGATATCAAGAATGGCCAGTTGTATTATAAACTAAGATCACACTCTAGAAGTGAAAGCTTATAACCTAACTCTGTAACCTAGACTTTTACTTTATTTTATTATTTTTGGCTGCGTTGGGTCTTCATTGTTGCGTTCAGGCTTTCTCTAGTTGCGACGAACGGGGGCTACATTTTGTCGCGGTGTGCGGGCTTCTCATTGTGGTGGCTTCTCGTTGCCAAGCACGGGCTCTAAGCGCGCGGGCTTCAGTAGTTGTGGCACAGGGGCTCAGTAGTTGTGGCTCACGGGCTCTAGAGCACAGGCTCAGTAGTTGTGGCTCACGGGCTTAGTGGCTCTGTGGCATGTGGGATCTTCCCGGACCAGGGCTCGAACCCGTGTCCCCTGTGTTGGCAGGCGGATTCCTAACCACTGCGCCACCAGGGAAGCCCTGTAACCTTGACTTCTGAATCTGGTTTTACTGGATAATTAAAAAAAAATAATTAATAATTCTTTATTTTTCTTATTGAGATATAAGTGACATAACATTATATTAGTTTCAGGTGTACAGCATGATTTAATATTTGTAAATATTGCAAAATAATCACCATGATAAGTCTAGTCAACATCACCATGCATAGTCACCATCCATAGTCATAAAAATTATTTTCTTGTGATGAGAACTTCAAGATCTACTCTCTTAGCAACTTTCAAATATGCAATATAGTACTATTAATTATAGTCACCATGTTTTACATTAGACCCCCATGACTCATTTGTTTTATAACTGGAATTTTGTACCTCTTGACCACCTTCACCCTCCCCCTGCCTCCCACTGCTAGACTCTGGCAACCACCAGTCTGTTCTCTGTATCTATGAGAGTGGTTTTGTTGTTGTTGTTTAGATTTCACGTATAAATGAGATTATTACAGTATTTGTCTTTCTCTTATTTCCCTTAGCATGATACCCTCAAGGTCCATCCATGTTGTCACAAATGGCATGATTTCACTCTTTGCTAAGGTTGAATAATATTCTATTGTATATACACACCATATCTTCTTTATTCATTCGTCCATTGATGTACACTTAGGCTATTTCCATATCTTGGCTATTGTAAATAAGGCTGCAAATGAACATGGGGGTGCATATATCTTCTTGAGTTAGCATTTTTGTTTTCTTCAGATAAATACCCAGAAGTGGAACTGCTAGATCATATGGTAGCTCTATTTTTCGTTTTATGAGGAACCTCCATACTGTTTTCCATAGTGGTTGCACCAATTTACATTCCTCCCGACAGTGGAGGAGGGATCCTTTTCTCCACAACCTGGCCAACACTTGTTATTTCTTGTTTTAAAAACAGCTGTTCTAACAGGTATGAGGTGATAAGTCACTGTGGTTTTGATTTGCATTTCCCTGATGATTAGTGATGTTGAGTATCTTTTCATGAAACTGTTGGCCACGTATGTCCCTTCTTTGGAAAACTGTCTATTCTGAACTTCTGCCCATTTTTTAATCAGATTGTTTTTTGTCTTGAGTTGCATGAGTTCTTTATATATTTAAATATTAACCCCTATCAGATATACGACTTGCAAATATATTCTCTCATTCGGTAGGTGTCCTTTTATTTTGTAAATGGTTTCCTTTGCTGTGCAGAAGCGTTTTAGTTTGAAATAGCCCGACTGGTTTATTTTTGCTTTTGTTGCCTTTGCTCTGATGTCAAATCCAAAAACTCATCTCCAGCACTAGAGCTTACTGCCTATGTTTTCTTCTAGGAGTTTTATGACTTCAGGTCTTATAGTCAAGTCTTTAACCATTTTGAGTTAATTTTTGCATATGGTGTAAGATAGTGGTCTGTTTCATTCTTTGGCATGTGGCTGTCCAGTTTTCCCAACATTTATTGAAGAGATGTCCTTTCCCCATTGTATATTCTTGCCTCCTCTGTCATAAATTAATTGACCATTTATGCATGGGGTTATTTCTAGGCTTTCTATTCTGTTCCACTGATCTGTGTGTCTGCTTAATTCTAATACCATGCTGCTTTAAATACCATAGCTTTGTAGTATAGTTTGAAATCAGGGAGCATGATGCCCCTAGCTCTGTACTTCTTCCTCTAGATTGCTTTGACTGTTCAGGGTCTTTTGTGGTTCCACACAAATTTTAGTATTGTTTGATCCAGTTATGTGAAAAATGCCACTGGAATTTTGATAGGGATTGCACTGAATCTGTAGATTGCTTTGGGTAGTATGAACATTTTATTAATATTGATTCTTCCAATCCATGAGCATGAAATATCTTTTCATTTACTTGTGTCTTCTTCAGTTTCTTTGGTTGTGTCTGATAGTTTTCAATGTATAGGTTTCTCACCTTGGTGAAATTTATTTCTAGATATTTTATTGTTTTTGATGCAATTATAAATGGAACTGTTTCCTTAATTTCTCTTTCTGATAATTTGTTATTAGTGTATAGAAACACAACAGATTTTTGTATTTTGACTTTGTACCCTGCAATTTACTGTATTCATTGATTAGTTCTAACAGTTTCTTGGTGGAGACTTTAGGATTTTCTATATAATATCATTTCATCTGCAAATAAGGACAGTTTTACTTCTTCCTTTCCAATTGGGATTCCTTTCATTTCTTTCTCTTGCCTAATTGCTGTGGCTAGGACTTCCAATACTATGTTGAATAAAAGTGGTGAGAGTGGGCATCCTTGTCTTGTTCCTGTTCTTAGAGGAAAAACTTTCAGCTTTTTACTGTGAACTGTGATGTTAGCTGTGGGCTTGTCATATGTGACCTTTATTATGTTGAGGTACATTTCCTCTGTACCCACTTTGTTGAGAATTTTTATCTTAATGGGATGTTGAGTTTTGTCCAATGCTTTTTCTGTATCTATTGAGATGATATGATGATATGATTTTTAGCCTTTATTTTGTTAATGTGGTGCATCATGTTGATTGATTTGCAGATGTTAAACCATCCTTGTATCCTTGGAATAAATCCCACTTGATCATGATGTATGATCCTTTTATTATTTATTGTATTGCTGGATTCTGTTTGCTAACATTGTGTTGAGAATTTTTGCTTCTGTGTTCATCAGGAACAATGGCAGAAGAGAGGGGAGGAGACTCCTCAGTCAGGATTGGAGCAGATCCAGAGGGGCTCTCCCAGGAAGGTTAGATTCATAGTTTACTTGACGTGCCCAAACTTCTTGAGGTGACATTGATGTGGGTGCCAAAGCATCTGGGGGTCAAATACTGGTCAGTACCTCAAGCCAGGTTCTGTGTCACCAGCTGCTGCACGTCCACATCCTGAAATCTTGAACTCGACCTTGCTGTGGTTACACCCTTCAGCCCCTCCAAGTAATTTTCTTTTCTTGTGATTTCTTTGTGTGTGTGTGGTTTTTTTTTTTTTTTTTTTGCAGTACACGGGCCTCTCACTGCTGTGGCCTCTCCCGTTGTGGAGCACAGGCTCCAGACACACAGGCTCAGGGCCATAGCCCACTGGCGCAGTCGCTCCGCGGCACGTGGGATCCTCCCAGACCGGGGCGCGAACCCGTGTCCCCTGCATCGGCAGGCGGACTCCCAACCACTGCACCACCAGGGAAGCCCTTTTGTGTGGTTTTGATATCAGAGTAATGATGGACTCATAAAATGAGTTTGGGAGTATTCCCTCTTCTTCTGTTTTGGAAGAGTTTGAGAACGACTGGTATTAATCTTCTTTGAATGTATGGTAAAATTCACCAGTGAAGCCATTCATTCCTAGACTTCTTTTTGTTGAGAGTTTTTTTTGTTACTGATTCAATTTCAGAA